TTCTGCTTTTTACTCTGTGTCTTTCAAATGCACATGTTCCATTAGTTTTAATTTAGGAGACTCCTTTCTTTCTATCATAATCTCTTCTCTTAAACTGCATCAATCAGTTTTCTTCTTGCTCTTTAAATCACACCACACATATGCAGCCCTCCTTTTATATTATAATATACTATAATCATTATTTTAACCTACTCTTTTTTTGAAAACAAACTTTTTAACACATTCACACTTCTAATCTTATTACTTTTCCTCTTCTCATTCACTCCTCTCCTCCACTCAGTGTAACAGGAGCTGCATCCCCCCATCCTCATTCCATTCAAGGAGGAGGAAGGCAGTCTTCTCTGCCCACCAATGTGGACTATTTTGCCACAATCTGAAGCAGCAAATACACAAACACTTCAATTAAATAAATACTCTACACTACACTCCTCTTGAGTGACCTGTCCGAGCAGCCCTCTAACCTTAGAGCGGTAACCACAGGCTTTCGCCTACCCATGCAGCCCTTTGTTTATCTCCTCAAACAAAGCGGTATCGTAGGTCTTAGCGCGCATCTCTCTATTTTAATCTGCTTTAATCTCTTAACTGTTACCACACATTAAGGACTCTCACTTAAAACTTATAAATGCTCTATGCATTTCTTACATCATTATTAATTTCCCAAATCTGGGTAACAGTTACTAGTGATTGTTTATCCTATCCATCAAGGCCCACTTAGGAAAACACAGATCATTTGCATACCTTACTCTGCTTTAATCTCTTAACTGTCACCACACATTAAAGACTCTCTTTTAAAACCTATAAATGCTCTATGCATATCTTATATCATTAATAATTTCCCAAATCTGAGTAACAGTTACTAGTTAATGTTTATCCTATCCATCAAGGCCCTCTTAGGAAAACACAGATCATTTGCATGCAAATTACTCTTTTTCTTCTGTTATTCAAAACCCCATTTTTCTTTAATATCTTTTTTACATTTACTTTTAATTCTTTAAAGCTGGAGAAACAGTTCAAGTGTATTTACCTGTACAAGCAGGTCCTGGCAGAAAAAACACAAACTAATAAGCATAAAATCGCTTACCGTTTTTTATTGTGGCCACATATTTGTGTTTTCTCTCCAGTCCAGCATGCACAGTAACACCAGTCCTGCTCCTTTCCAGCCCACCCAGGGACGCCAAATGTGGTGGTTTTCTTGGTTTTTCTCTTACTAAATCAAACTCAGTCTGGAGGTTATGAATATCAGAAGAATATACTTTATTGTCGACAACAAAGGAGAACTTTCAGGAGACCCCCAGTAGCATCTCTGTCTGAAAAATTCTGTCTCACTCAGGTTCTGGCCCGTTTAAATAGTCTGTTTTTTTCCTTTGTTGTACATATGTCACACAAGATCCCTCCTGGTTTAACCCTTGACTCCAAATTCCACCTCTGTCATCTGTTTTTGTCTTAGTTCTACATTTATCACACACATTCCACCTAGGTTAACCCCTGACCTCAATTTCCACCTAGGTTAACCCCTGACCCAAACCTGGTAACTATATAACTTATCCAGTTCTTGTGAAATGGTAATTCTTCTAATGGTATGCAAGTCTACAAGCAGATTATATACATACACTTTGAATATATATATTAACTTCACACTTTAAAAAGCACAAGATCCACCTCACCCTGTAGCGTTCGTTTTAACAACGAAATGCAGCCTTACATACTTCTAGCTACATAATTCACGATCTCCAGAAATGTATATAAGGCTAGGTTTTCAGAATGAGCCTGTGTTTAGTAGACATGAAACCAAACATTTAAATGGTTGTTGATGTGGGGAATCTAGTTTCCTTGTAACTCTTATCAACTTTGATCCAAAGCACGGCTACTGACATACAGGTGATAACTTTCTGACATGGTAGTTTAACAAATACGTGACATGCACATGGGCATTATTAGGCAGTTCGCAAATAAGGTCCACCTTCAGCAAATAAACATCAGTAAAACATAAACTGAAAAACAACCCTATTTATTTGTTAATAACTGAACATTGCGCTTTACTCAAAAATGTCATAATATAGTAAAAATAGGTTGCGAATGGAAGTTGACTTAAAGTAAAATACATCACAATAGCATATCTGTAAGTATGCCAAAAACCACGTTGTATTTTTGTGTGTGTGTATTTTCAATTACATTTACCAGATAACTGCTTTTATACAACTGCTGTATTTCTTCTTTTTTTAAAGCTTTTATGACTTAACAGTGCAAAGGACTGCTTTTTGAGCACAGATTTGTTTTAGTTTAGTTAGTTTATTTTTATTATAATTGTTTTATTGCCTGTACTATGTTGATCTTTTGTCATCTGTAGACTGGACAACCTCAAACCTGTCTGTATATAGGACATGTACTGTCTATGGATATGAAAACACTTTGTATTCATATTTTTTGATTAAAATAAAGCAGCTGCAAAAGTTACGTCTAAATATTTCATTTCAAGGAAATATATTATCGACTACTCAGTCTGAAATGTAACCCTTCACTATTTTTTTTAAACAAACCATGGATCCACTTCCACTAACAAAAAAAAAAGGTTATTTTAATAACAAGACTAAATGGGTTTAAAATACGTAAATGTTGACAAACAGCTCATATAAACTCATTTTTGATGGGGAATGGCAAACCCTTATAAGCCAACTTACTGTAAGTGCATAACGTAAGTTTGTTAAGGTCATAGTTGGGTAAACGTACATCACAGTGAATAGGAGAGTACAATTTTTTTTTTTTTTTTTTTTTTTACAATTTGCTGAAATAATAAAAGAAAAACTCTGTGATGGTGTTATCAAGACTTTCAGAAAAAGAAATATAATTTTGTAAGACTGAAAACAGCAGCCAGGCCCAGAAGAAAGAATAATGTCAAATTTACGGTCCTGTCCATAGACACTGCGTTTTAGAAACACCTTGCATAAGTGTTAATTCGTTTTTGTTTTTTGTAATAATGTAAAGATGATATAACCCATACAGAAAAAAGCTATATATATGTTTTAATATAGGTTTTGATATTGGTTTTTAATATATGTGACATATAAAATTGGCCATTTTCCTATAGCCTATTATATGTACATATATTTTAACAAATATGTACATATAGAAAAACGGCCAATTTTAAATGTGTCACAAATATTAAAAACTTATATCAAAACCTCTATTAAAACATATGTTTATATAGGTTCTTTCCGTGTGGGCTCTCACTTGTCATCCATAACATGCCAATTACTTGTGATAACAATTTCAAGTGTTCGCACATACGAACAAGTATAAGTTTTATGCATTTGTTTTGTTCCTAGTTATTCCCTTGAAAATAGAAAATATGAGCTAGACATCATGTATGGCAGTTGCCAAAGTGAGATATGAGCAATAATAGAGACATATCTTGTATGTACAGTACATAGGGCATATATATGTAAGAAGCAATACAGGAGACCTACAGTATGTGGCCTGTATATGCAACTCATTTTTGCTTATATGTGCATACAGTATATGCAGCGTATTATCATATATGTGCCTATATACTGCATATAGGTTTCATATGGGTATATTCTCATATAGCTTCTTTCCATGTGGAAAGACATAAATACATATAAATATACGTTTAAAAAAAAAATCTGAATATTAAAAACGTCCAAGGATTTAAGATGCTGATGTCCGTTAAACGCATCATAACAGTCTTGTAAAAAGAATTCATTATATTTCGCTTTTCATTTGAAAGTGACCAAGGAAGGAGAATCAGTTAAAATGTCTTCCGAACAAACGAACTGAAGGTCAGGTAAGATCAACCCAAGCTCATTCTGAAAACATAGTCCTGTGGATGTTTCTGGAGGCCGCGAAATACGTCCCGTGATGTACGTATGGCTGCATTTCATTTTTTTAAGCAAACGCTACAGGGCAGTGTGACGCTGTTCCCTTCCGCGCTTGCCGGCTGAGCGCTTACCTCCATGTGGAGGGCTTTTCTGCCGGAATTAGTTTGTCCGGTCAGCTCATCGTGTGCGTCGGCGGACTTCAGATGCAGAGAGGAGGAGTTGACAAAGGCGTCCAGGTTCGAGTCCGGGGAAGAGCGGTTCCAGAAATCAGGTAAGACAAAAACAGAATCCAAAAAATAAAGCGAACGAGTTCATAACAGGGTGTGAACAAGGTGAAATCCGAAAACGTGGTAAAAAAAAAAAAACGAGGGCTTTTCTTTTTCTAGACGGCTTTTCTAAATTGTTGCTCAGATTTAGGGAAGTGAGCGGGCGGGCGGGTCAATCAGTAAAACTGGTTGGGTTCAGGGAAGGAGGAGGGTGGGTCAGCCGATTGGCCGGTCGAGCAGTCAATCATTCGGTCAGTCAGACAGCGGCCTCTGGTGGATTCGCGAAAACAAAAATACGTACCTACTGGGACGTATTTCGCGGCCTTCAGAAACCTCCGCTGGACTACTTTTTTAGAATGAGCCTGGGTTGGGTAAGATACTGATAAAAATACTGACATATAAATAGTGACTTGCAATTATTTCGAAAAGAAGAAGAAGCAAACTGATTCCGTCATGGTCGGTTTAGTTATCTAAAATAAGCCTAGCTAACTGTGAGGTGGTGCAAATGAATGCTAATGAAACAAACAAACGCAAAAAAATACAGTGAACGTTACACATAGTGTTTGGGACTAGAAGTATAATCATTTTAGTTACCATTATTCAAGGTATTCAAAGAATAAAAATATACTTTACATAATAAACGCAGGCCTACCCCTATTAAAGTTAGTTCAGAATGAACAATGATTTAGCCTACTTTACACTAAGCAATCAGGAAAAAAAGTTATTCACTTACAACAATGACAATAGCTCTGAATCGTTTTTCCCCCATGGTTAAAAACAAACGTTTAAATAGCTCTATATAAAAACGTGTATTGAAGACAACCTTATGTGCATGATGAATATCAATAACCTTGCATATGACTGACCTCTAGTAGAAAATTGCGGTATTGCAATGAAAGCCTTTCATATTTTCACAGGGTTTAACATTTATTGGAACTATAACTCAGCAATACTTCACATTCCTCCATGTCCCTTAGTAAATAAGAAATATATACATTAAAGATGTAAGCACAAGGCATGAATGACAATTAATGTTAAAGTAAAAAAAAAACTAACATAATGGTTTTATTTGACAAATGGATCGTCAATTAAACAACATCATGTAGTATATTTCATACACAGAATGAACAAAACAAAACCAAAAAATCTCAGATTACCCCAAATAAAAAAAAAGAAGTCACAAGGTTTTGTTTTCCCTATAACTTGGCATTAATGTAGAACACTAAAACATGCTGTATCTCCAACCAACCTCGTCGGTACAATACTAAAACGGCAAAAAGCAGAATGTCTGGATGGATTATTTTCAAATGTGCTCTCGAAACGATGCATCTAAGACGATTGTGAATAATAATGCCCTTCTCCTCATCTCCTGTGTTCTGAACAGATGTGAATGACCGAGTAGTACAGTATGTGCCTTATGTCAGGCATATCTTTACAAATAAAAATAAAAATAGTACCTGATCGTAGAGTTAAACCGTTTAGAGTTCACCTGTTACCCTTACACGTTCCATATGGCTTTTGGCCCGTTGTAACATATGTAGTAGAAAACATGTAAAGCACCAGGCGCTGTGGTCTGAACCTCGTGGATATGTGTGAATACGGGAAGGGCAGTGAGATGAGCAAGGTTGAAGGTCGTTAGATAAGCAAGAGAAGAATGGTTAGATGTTCAGGGTCCCTCGCTGATAGTGGGTAAGGGAGCTCATGCAGCTGGACTGGAGATCTGATAGAGGATGAATGGAGACGCTTGTCCTCTTCACGGTCTCACCAACAGCAGATCGCACGCTGGACTTTAGGTAGGACACAGAACTGCGGGATGAAGATGTGAAAATGCGTTAACGAGATCAAAGCTGCTGCATTTCTAATCTATAGACATAAAAATGGTAAAATTTTCTTATTGCGATTAATTGCTGTAGCTTTTATCACAATATATGGTAGAGTTATGCAATTAATCGAAAATCTGGTTTCGATTTCGGCTTCTAACGATTATGAAAAACCATTAATCATTATCAGGTGAAGTTTTTTTTCCCTCTCCGCTGCCGCCACTGGCTCGCATGGTTCAGGATTGGTAGAGCTACGCATCGATGAATTTGCTATTCAGTGTTTGAACTCTCAGTAATGATTTTGAACCACACTGAACTGAGCTAAACTGAACTGAACTTAAACACTAAAAACTGAACTACACTGTTCCAGTTACTATGACCATTTATGTGAACCTGCTTTGACACAATCTACATTATAAAAGCGCTATACAAATAAAGCTGAATTGAATTCCCACATAGCAAAATTTCTCTGGCCCAGCTCTGGCCCACACAATCAGGTTTTGCTTGGCCCACATGCCGCAGTGAATTACGGTACATGACTGGACCAAATCTGGCTTCCAGACAAGGGCCAAACACAGACCATATCTGGGCCAAGTCTCAGCCAAGTTAATAACTCATAACTGGGCCTGAACTGGGCCAGGTAGGTTGGTGTGTCACGATTGCAATGAAATTGATAAACCCATGGAGTGAGGCGCTTTAGGTACACTATAGGCACGCTTTTTCTCAAAGTGACCTGATTGGTAGAATTTTTTTTCTTTACTCAAAAGTGATTTTAGTGTATTTTAAATGTGGGTCAAGACTGGCCAAACTCACATGGCCCACTTATCAAATTTTTAAATCTGGGCCAAATACTACGTTTTTCATCTGGCCCAAATCTTGTGTGCCGCCTTAAAAACGGTGCCACCACTGCCAAACCTGGGCCATGTTTGGCCCACATGCTGTATGCCAGTGCCGGATGAATGCCTGATGTGCCAGCTTTTTGCCAAATCTGGGCCAGAATTCTTTGCTACTAGGGTTGCGTTAATCGAGATAAACGATTATTCCATCATATACCGCCCCCTTTCCAGTTGTACACATTTGTTGCTCTGCAAAGCTCAGTTCAGTGTAATGTAACGTCTGCAGCACGGAATGCGCATCATTCATATTTTTAAAAGCGCAAAAGAGTGTGCTGTTGTGTGTGTGCGCGCTGCGCTTAGCCTCGCTTTTAGACTAGATATTTTTAAGATAGGCCACTAGTATTCAGCTTAAAGTGACATTCAAATGCTTAACTAGGGCAAATAGGCAAGTCATTATATAACAGTAGTTTCTTCTGCAGACAATCAAAAATATTGCTTAAGGGGGCTAATAATATCAAGCTATTAAAATAGGTTTAAAAAAATTGAATCCTGCTTTTATTCTAGCCAAAATAAAACAAATAAGACTTTCTCCAGAAGAAAAAAAATTTATAGGAAATAATGTAAAAGAAATTCCTCTGTTAAACTTTATTTGGGAAATATTCATATATAAAAATAAATTCACAGAAGGGCGAATAATTCTGACTTCAACTGATAACCGTTTTGAATAATCGTGATTGCAATTATGACCAAAATAATCGTGATTATGATTTTCCCCATAATCGAGCAGCCCTAATATACGGTATTATCACCACGGTATTGACCTATGCCAAAAAGGTTATTTTAACAAATGTATGTATATTGCTTTATTCACTGAAAAAATGCTGTCTGCAAAGTTGTTACAAACAATTTATTTGTGTTGAATTTAAACTGAATTTAAACTTATTTGTATTGAAATTAAACTTAATTTGTTTGTTTAAAATCAGCCCAAATAAATAGTTTACATCCCCTTAACTTAAAAAAAGTTAGTAAATCCAAGGAATCATCCTTGAATCATTTTTTTCAGTGTTATACATGTTCATAATAAACAAATGTTTCAACCAAATTAAATTGCAAACGTATTATAAGAACAATAGTTAACATGTTACAATAAAATCTCATTAGTAAATGTCATAGATATACACATTAGATGTCGCCTACCCTGTTGTTGTCTATTGGATTTAACGTCAATAACGTTACCTGTTTAGCACAAAAGTTCATAACATACAAAAACCTAAAAAAACTAAATCTGACCTATGAAATGTTCTGCTTTTGTGCTTTGTTTTCTTTGTTTGCTTTGTTACTACACCTGTACACAGCGCTAAAGTCCAGCATCTTCATGTAGTAACACTGTCTTGACTAGTGCAGTTAAATGACATGTGTCCTTGGAGCACTGTACAAATCGGGGGCGCTATTGATGTATGCTCAGGGTCCCCATGCAATATCTAGTGTATATATCTATGAATAAATGTTAGTTAATTCAAGTTAACTGTGAGAAAAAGTCTAATTATTACAGCTAATATTATTTTCAAAACATTAATTTATGTAGTAAATTAATTACAATTTGTAATCAGATTAAAGCTTAGATTTCTAACACGTTATTAGGAGTTATTGTAGGAATTAACATCACCGAGTAATTAAAAAGCTTTTGTAGTTTTCAATTTGAGTTAACTAATTGGAACTTTGCAGTGTTAAAAGTACAATAGCCCTATAAATATAGTGACATAATTGCTGATCAATAAATCAGGATCTTCAGTCAGATTACCATGTGAAAATGTTCATGTTTAAACCAGAGATGCCCAAACTAGGGCCCGCAGGCCAAAGTTGGCCTATGGTAATCTTTGATTTGGTCCACCTTTCTAACTGAGAGGCGAGGAGGAATTATTGGGAAAAGTTGGACAGAATGCCTTTAATAGAAATTCCTATTTATAATTTAATATGACCTTTTTATTTGTTTGTTTTACACCCCTGGTTTAAACTGGTGCATTGTTAACAAGTCTCCAAGCATTTGAGGCTGTTACTGCAATTACAGTGTGAATATTCAATTTATTTATTCATTTTTTTATAATTATTTTTAAGGGGTTTTCACCTTTACTGATAGGATAGTGGAGATGTACAGACAGGAAAGTGTGGAGAGCAGAGATAAGGGAAGGATCAGCAAAGGACCTCAAGCTGGGGATTAAACTCAGGTCACCACAAGCACCTCAGTGCCATTGTGTTGACCCACTAAGTAACCACTAGGCTATTGGTGCCGACAGTGTGAATATTCTAAAAAAGCTCTCTAAAAATGTGAGCAATAAACAATAAATTAGTATTTCACAGTTCCCACGATATGTGCATGTTCATTTTGTTGAATTATTAAATATAAGCATATGTCTGCTGCATACGTTTATACACTGTACTGCAACATTTGAAATGGATCAGAAATATTGCCAGTATCATTTTTTTAGAACTCATTAAAATACTGAGACTGAACGTTATTGGTATTAATAATTAATAGTAATAATTGCTCAATACATGTTTTGGTTAGGACAAAGGTTTCAATTCAAATTTCACTGCTGTATATTAAACTTGGGTTACTGTAGTTAACTAAAGCTCACAGCATATTTGGTTGTAGTCATGGGCTAGGTTATGTGCATTATTTTTAATAAAACACGCATGCACGTGTTTTTGTACTATTTATTTTGTCCACAAGGTGACAACATTGAGCCGCTGTTTCATAGTTGAAATGGAGACAATCAACAAACAAGTGAAGATGTCCAAGTGCAATGGTGAGTGGAATCGACAAATAACTAAATATATAAAGTATATTTCTATTTGAAAACGAGTCCAAGACATTTTTATGTTATATTATTTGGTAACGCTTTCTTTTACAACCCGCAAAGTACCGCGTAAGTACAGTGAAATTACAGTGTACTTTTCTGTACGTACTGTGTAAGTATAATGAACGTATGTGTAGGTATAAGGGAACAAACCGTAATGCTTGGGTAATAAGGGGGTAACAACCAGATGTTCATCACGAAAATTACAGCGTAAGTACAGTGAAATAACGGTGTACTTTTCTGTACGTATAGTGTAAGTATAAATAACGTTTAAGTAGGTATAAGGGAACAAACTGTAAAGCTTGGGTAATAAGGGGGTAACAACCAGATATTCAGCATGAAAAGTACCGCGGAAGTACAGTGAAATAATGTTGTACTTTTCTTTAAATTGCAAAAGAACAAACCATAATGTTTGCATAATAGGGGAGTAACAATTAGATATTTATCACGCAAAGAACCGCGTAAGTATATTACGTTTACGATGTACTTTTCTTCAAGTATTGTATACATATGAAGAATTATGCAAGGATGGCGACAACCTATTGCTATCTGCAAATGTACTGTACATGCACCTGCGTGAGTACATTAGTACTCTTATTCAGTGCTTGGGTTTTATATGGGGTGTTTAATGAATAAAAGATTTACAGCCTGTGAAATTATGAACCCTTATTGTATACTGTATGTATTTTAAATCTGCAATTCAATATAAAATATATTTTCATACACTACTTACCTTATGTTTACTCGTCAATCTCACCAAAGCCATCAATATCTCCATAAGTCACTATCAACAAATAACTTTGCATGACATAGGCCTAAAGTCAGGGTTCAATGTAGATTAAAACAGGCTCACATCTTTACTGCTGTTGCACAGGGGGGCTAACTGTTGCATTTCAGTAAATGTATAGCTGATGCTTTATAGAAAAATGTAGCAATTTGGTCTTCAATCAATAAAAACTGTTGCTGTAGTTTACTCTGTTCTTAGTGTTCACGTATACACTAGTGTGTTAAAGTTCACCTTCTTCCCTCTTTGTTCCCTGTAGTTAAAGGGTAAATACAGTATTTGTTCCCTCCTTGTTCCCTGTACTTACAGGGTAAATACCACATTTGAGGGTTGTAAATTAAAGTGAAGCATTGTTCCTCTCTTGTTACCCCCTTGTTCCCTGTACTTACAGGGTAAATACCACATTTGAGGGTTGTAAATTAAAGTGAAGCACTGTTCCTCCCTTGCTCCCTGTACTTACAGGGTAAATACCACATTTGAGGGTTGTAAATTAAAGTTAAGCACTGTT